TCGGGTGAAAGTTAGGGTTTTCTATCCTTGTAAAGAGTTACAGTCTCAGAAACCCACAGGGGCGGCTCTACCCTGTCCTATAGGGTCACTAGGAGCCAGTATGGACTCGATGGCAGTCTGGGTTTTCTTTGGTTGTTCTGTGATATTGGCTGCTATCTTTACAGTGTTAGCACTCTCATTTCCACCCTGTTTCTGTCTCTGCACTGATTGTTCTAAGGAGCACATTCCTTCTGGGTGTTATTGCTTGTATTACAGGCCAGTTTGTTATCTGGCTGAGAGCTGACTTCCAGGAGTGGATTCAGCTCCAGGTTAAAAGGATCTTTGTGCAATAGTCTCAGGGGTTTCTCCAGTTCCCATTGGTCTAAGTAAGCCTGATCTTTTCATGACTTTAAGTTTTGTTCTACATTTTTCTCCCTTTTTACCCAAGGCCCTCTATTGTGCTCCTGTGGTTGTTAGTGGTAGCCAGCTACCATCTAGTTTTTCTGGTTTGAGGCTAGAGGTGGCTATTGTTTGTGTGGGCCCTTACACCTGAGCACTGACTGTTTCCTTGAATTTGTTCCTCTCCGTTGTTCCTGACCAAGAGTTGTATCTCAGATGCGATTTCCTGATGTGGTAGCATTTGTAAGATTATGTTTGACCTAATTGAAATATGGATTATTATAATATCTGTAAGAGCTCCCAATAAAATGATTAAAATTTTTTTTCAAAAAAGTTAAAACAAATGTTCAGTTTTGATGACATTCATGTTATACAAATTTCCATTGGTTGCTTGTACTTTTGATATCAGGTCTAAGAAACCATCTCTTAATCCAAGGTCATAAGGATTTACACGTTTTCTATTAAGTGTTTTATAGTTTAGCTTTTAAGTTAGGTCTTTGGTTTGTTTTGAATTTATTGTTGTATGTGGAATGAGATAGGGGTCCAACTTCATTCTTTTGCATTTGAAGATCCAATTGTTTCAACACCATTTGTTGAAAAGGCAACTGCTTTCCCATTAAATTGTCTTTGTCACCTGTGTTTCTGGGAGTAGTTTGACTTGTGGCTCCTTGGGATTGTTTTTTTCTGTCCATGTGGAATTTCACACATGTGTGTGGCTAGGTTCCTAGGGGGCAGCCCTTGAGATTTCTGGAGCTCTTCCTTTGCCGAGCTGCTCTCCTTACCCTATACATGTTAGTCATCTCAGACACTGCCAAGTGCAACATTTGTCTCCTGAGCGCAGCATGTGCTCTCCGCTCTATGTTCCCAGCCCTGAGCATGTGTTGGAATCTTCTCCAGACTTAAAACAGTGACAGCAGCTGCTCTTACGTGTCTTTTTCAGAGACAATAGCCTTTTACTGCTCTTTGTCCAAATGTCTGAAAACAACCATTTCACATGTTTTGACCAGTTTTCTCTTTGTAAGAGGATGTCTCCCTGT